CGGCCTGTCTGCCCTCAGAGTTCGGGTTTTTTAAAAACAGCCCGGAAAGGTGCTGGAAGGGATGGTGTCAGGAGACGCGATCCCTAGAAAGGGGCTGCGTTGCATCATCTTCCCGCAGAGCGAGCCGCGGGGGACGTGCAGGGGACCGAGCCCCGGAGCCGCCCGCTGCTCACGTCCGCACGCGGACAGCCTGGCCGACAGCGCCCCCTCGTGGCCGGCAGCGGCCCTTCCCGGCTGCGGAGGGTGCGGCCCCGCCCGGATCCACCGCTCAGGGAGGGGGAGGGGGGGTGGGGAAGGGTGTGTGTGGGTTTTTATTTCTTTATGAAGAGCTCTATTCTTTACACATTTGGCTCCAGGGCGGTTTTAAAGAGCGATCAACACATTCGGAGCAGCTGATGCTGCGTGGCGTGTGCAGAGGCGGGTGGGGTGGGGGGGCGGGGCCGGGACCTGGCGGAGGGAGTGGCGGAGGGAGGGAGGCTGGGAGCTGAAAGCCAGTGTGTGTGGGAAGCCACCAATGGATGTGTCTCTCTCACATTGATGTTTCTCTCTGTCTCTCCCCTCCCTTATACTCTCTCTAAACATCAATGGAAAAATATCCTCAGGTGGGGATTAGCAACATCAACAAAAAGTGTCAGTCGATACCTAGGGATTAATTTCTCTCCTGAAGACTCTTTTGCAAACCACAAGAGATGTGTCTGATTCTCTTTCTTGCAGGAAAGTTGGACAGGACAGGGGCTCAGGGAACGGGAGCAGGTTGGGGGGCCCTGGGGTGAGAGCCAGGCGCTGCCCAGCGAGGCAGCCTGGCGGTGACACCCCCCCTCCCCAGCCCTTCCCCACCCCCCACCCTACCCCAGCCCTTCCCTGGGTCTCCTGGGCAGAGAGGGCCGTGAGCAAGGCTAACTCGAATGCACAGTTTGCCTGCTAGGCCTCTGCAGGTGAAGCCTGGACGAAGGCGGTCCTAATGGGACAGATAAAGGGTCTAGAAAATAAACCATTTGTTTTTTCTGTTTCTACCCCATTTCGACAATAGTCAGACAACTAATTTCATGACCAAATACAAAACGAGGAAAGAAAATGGGTCGGTCACGCCTCAGAGCCACTCCCACGACCCTGGTCCCCCATCGAGGCAAGTCCATTCCCCTCCGGCCTTTGTCTCCTGTTTTACCGGAATCTGCTTCCTCCCAGCGGTGTGGAGGGATTGACACAGGGCCACCCGGTCCTGGCAGGTCCCCAGGGCTCTGTCTAAACGTCCCCCATTTCTCGTTCGGAAGCAGAACTTTCCAAAGCCCCGTCTTTGCTTGTAGGCGTGTTTGATAGCATGATCACCTTACACATTTTTTCCCACCAAGAGCCGACTCCCAAAGGGACCTTGGGAAACAGGACAATTTCACCACTAGGTGGTTGGGGTTGGAGGTTCAGCCTGAGGTTAGCTGCCACCCTATTCGGACCCCCCTTTCCCTGCAGGTCAAGTCCGAGCAGCGCCCTGGCACGTTTCCAGGTGGCTGCCCGCCCCTGGGAGAGAGAGTGTGCAGGTGGCAGCGCTTGCTGCCTGTGGCTGGCCTGGCAGGTGGACCGGAAGCGAGGCCCACCGGAAGCGAGGCCCACCGGAAGGGCTCCGTGTATTTGCGTGTCTGCTGCCTTGGATGTTGCTCTGGCTAACCTTACCGCTCAGAGCGCGGACTTTCTCACTCTCGTAGGTAAGTGAAAAGGCCGGGACACAAAGGGGAGATGCTGGTGCTTTTTTATGGGAGGGAGCCAGGCCCGGCTGGTGGGAGGGCGCGAAGGGGGCGCCGGGGAGCAGCCGGAGACCCAGCGGTTGGAGATCTTCAGCTTCTAAATCCTAAGCACAGCGTGGGCTTTTTAATTATTTTGTCCTAAAACAAAGAAACAAACAGCCCATCGTATAAGAGTGCGTGGACCTGGACGGTAGACCAAGATGATGAGACACAGAGATTTCATTGTCAGCTCGGAGGTTCCCTGGCCGTGGGAGGAGGTGGGCCCCTAAGGGCTTTGATGATTTCCCGGAGGCTGGTGACCTCAGGTGGAATGACTGCCTGCCCGCCAGCCCTCCTCCCCCGGGACATCTGCACTGTGACTCTCCTCTCTGGACGAGGAAAAGGTCCAAAAAATGCAGCGAGGGACTTGGGGAACCCACCACCCAGCAGGGAAGCGCGTACCATGGCCCTCCCGATGCTGTCCCTGTCCTGCTGGGGGAGGGTGTCCACCAGCCCCTTTATCTTGATCGCCGCATCTCTCATGTCTGCATCAGGGCTGAAAAGTTCCACCGAGACCTGGTGACTGGACAGCAGGCTCACGAAGAAGGTTTTCACGATGAAGTCCAAGCAGCTCTCTGCCGAATCAGCAACACTTTCCCAAGATGGCAGCCCCCTGGCTGGGTCTGCCTGGGAGGCAAATGCCGGACCTGTCAGCAAGAGATAGCAGCCTTTTCATCAGTGGCCTGGCCGTGGGAATTGGTGGTGCTCCAAGCAGCTGGCTCTTGGGTGCTGTGGGCATACTTTCTGGGTGGCAGCCGGCTTTCTGCGGCTTGCCTGGGCCTTCCTTGCACTTCCTGGGGTGGGGTGGGGGCAAAATGCCGCTTGTTCTTTCTGCTAGGTCTCTAGGCAGAGTACTGATCTTAGGAGCTGCTGACCTGATTTTCGATGCAGTGTGGGGGCTGGGAAGAGACCATTGCGGGTTTCTGGTAACATGTTTCTAGCAGAGACACGTCTCTTGCCAATGGTTAGAGACAGTCTCAGCCACTTGTCCCTGGGGCACATGGCAAAGTCAGGCGAACCTGGCCCAGCAGGGGTGGCCCCGTGAGCGCTGGGCCCTGGGGCACGCTTACCCACAGACAGACACGCTTCTTGTGTCTATGCCTCGCCCCACCGTGTCCCCTTCACCCGGAGTGCTCCCAGGCTGTGCTCCCTTTTCAGGTCCCTGCCCCCAGGAACATGGGCGTCACCGTTTCCTATTCCCTGCAGGCCCATCTCCCACGGAGTCGCAGATCCTCGTCCTTGAAGTCTCTCTGCCTGGACTCCAGGGCCTTACCCAAAGTGGCCAGTTCAAACCAAACTTCTCCGGAACTTGGATCCCTGTTTTGCAACTGACTATGTCATCAGGCAAGTTACCGTATCATTCGGTAGCTCAGTTTTCTCATCTGTGAAATGGGTATAACATCCCTACCCCATCAGGTCGTTGTAAGGATGAAGAGACAACATGTGAAGGGGTAGAGCAGTGATGTGCACCCTGTCAGTGCTAAGTAAAGGTTGGATATTGTTGCTGTCATTGTTAGATGTGCACACACAGACATGCAAGCGCACCCCAGACCCAGCCCTCAACAGTCCTATCTGGCTGAGCCCCGCCTCCATCCACAGCACTGAGACCTCCTCACTAATGTACACACTAGTCCTAGATGTTATTTCTCCTTAAGAACAAACACTTACACTGTAGCTGTTCCCACTGCCTCTTGGTTTTGGTTTCTAACTCCCCTGCCATCCTCCAGGGTCATAAAAGTTATTGCCATGGATATTATGAAACTTGCAAAGTGAATTAACTGGAACGTGTTCAAAAATGTATATGTGTGTGTGTGTGTGTGTGTGTGTGTATTGAAAGGAGTAGGAAGGCAGATACAGAGTAAAAAGCAGTTGGGTAACAAATTCCCAATAGAGATAAAGGGGCTTGGAGGGAGGTGTGACCCACCTTTCTCCCTTTCTCTCTCTCTCGCTCTCGCTCTCGCTCTCGCTCTCGCTCTCTCTCTCCTTTACTATCAGTATCATCTGCAACTACACAGAGACTCCTAACCCTTTCTGCAGAGGACAAAAATGTTTAGAAAACGCCTCTCTGGGTTGTTAGTTTCTTAAAGGGAAGACCCCTTTCTAGAATACTCCTTTCTGCCCAGAATGGAGATCTTGCTTTGGCTTGGGTTTCTTTTGGAGACACGAGGCTCTGCAGCTCCTTCTAGCCGCCTTGGCTGCCAGAGTTGGGTGGAGACCCCAAGCCTGGAGGCTGCCCCAAGGCCTCTTGGGGTCTGTCCAAGACTGGGCTTTGGGGAGCGCGTTATCCCTCTCCCATGGAATTCTGAGGGCGTTGGAGGTGGAAGATGAGATACTTTTCGGGTTTCCTCATAGCCTCAGGGCTCTTCCCAAGTTCCCAAGACGGGCTGGTCGCCAGACCCCGCTCCCTGGCTGGGCGGCAGCATCCCCAGCCCTCCCAGCAGCCGAGCAGTGGGCACAGACAGATGCCCCTGTCTCGGGCAGCACTGGGCGGCAGGGAGAGTTCCCTTGTCCAGCTTGGGGACAGGGCTCTGGGCACTCACCAGGGCGGCAGCAGAGAGCCAGGGTGAGGGTGACGGCCAGCTTCATGGTGGCGGGAGGCTGGAGGGCGGCTCGGTCGTCGCTGCTCCGTGATCTCGTGTGAGAGGTGACCGTCCGCCAGGTGCCCTCTTATGTCCCTCCTCCACAGGGGGAGGCAGGGCTTGGGCTCCACTTGGGGACCACGCTGTTTATCTGGGCAGCGACTCGGTGGAAAAAGTAAACATTCTCTTTTCTCAGCACGGTTTCTGTCCCCATTGAAGTAGCTCACACATGAGTCACTTGGTTGGGGGGTGGGGTGGTGGTGGGGAGCCCTGGTCCCAGGTGGGGCAGCAAGGGGACCCGAGTCACAGGGGGTGGGGGTCTGGCCGCCTGTGCCTCTCCTTGAACCTGAGCACAGGGCAGTCCGGCCAACAGAAGCAATGGTAGGGCCCCCGGACCCATCACCCCAAGGGAAACTGAGGCTCAGAGCCCTCACAGGTGGCAGTGGGGGAACTGGGCCTGGGGACTCCTGCTCCTCCGAGGAAGGCGCTGGACCTCCAGCCCCGAGGGCCGCCCGTGCCGGGCAGCGTGGTGGGCAGGCTCAGGGAGGGCACCGGCTGCAGCGCCCCCCGCTCCCCTGGGCCTTTCCCACCGACACTGGAGGCCGGCCCTCCTGGTGGCCGGATCCAGGGCACCTTCGGGCCTTATCTCGCTTGACTTCTTTGTGGCCTTGACCCTCTTGACATTTCCTTCTTGAACTGTTTTCTCTCCTGTGTTCCCACGCCTCGGTCCTTCCTGCTTTCCTCCCGGACACGCCGCGCCGCCTGCCCTGGTGCCAGGCTTGGGCTGTGGCCCCTTCTCTCCCAGTCTCCGCGTCCCGGGGCTGCTCCTTCCCTCTCCCGTGCCCAGCCCAGAGCACCCACCAGCCTGCCCACCTCCTCGCTTGCCTCCTCGGCCATCACCAGAGAGATCTTTCTACAGCCCACTTTCCTAAAAAACATACATTTTTATTGATTTCAGAGAGGAAGGGAGAGAGAGATAGAAACATCCATGATGAGAGAGAATCATTGATCAGCTGCCTCCTGCACGATCCCTACTGGGGATGGAGCCCGAAACCCGGGCATGTGCCCTTGACCGGAATCGAACTGTGACCTGGTTCATAAGTCCACGCTCAACCCCTGAGCCACGCCAGCTGGGCTTGTCATTGATGTTTCTGTCTCTCTCTTCCTCTCTGGAATTAATAAAAATATAGTTAAAAACAAACAAACACGAAACAGGCAGCACAGTGATCAGCGGAAGGAGAGCAGGAAGGAGATGCGGTTGCTTGTGGTGCTTGACCGCCTCTAGGGGGCGGGTCTGGCTGCTGCAGGACACAGTGGGGGGACAGGGAGGGAGGAGGCGGCCTGAGCGCTCCAGGCCCTTTGAATTCAGGCTGTATAACTGCACTATGGATTCCAAGCAAAACCAAAAGAGAGAGGCGCCTGACTCCTGCTAGAGCGTGGACGAGCCTGAGGGCTCTATGGGAAGTGGAGTTAGCACGGCCAAGACAGCTGTGTGCGTGCGAACCCCGTCCTAGAGGGGGTGTGAGGCTGGAGATTCGTCCCCGTTCAGGGTGGGACCCCGACAACCCTCAGCAGCTGCCCCAGGACGTGCTCTCCCATCCCGGCCCTTGGGAGACCTCCTTGCGGGGGAGGGGCTTTCTCTCCCTGCCTGGAGCCGCAGGAAGACTTGCTTTGTGGGACAGTGAGGCCTAACAGTTAGCCAAGGCTCAGGGCACACAGCTTAGGCCTTAACACCTGCTCCTCAAATCTTCACCCCCCACATGTGAGCGCCAGGCGGGACCCCTCAGGCCGGCCTTTGCACATGGCAAGGACGAGGAGCCACGGCTCTGGCTGCGTGTGGGCGGTGGCCTGGTCACGGTGCAAGGACAACCCAACTGGTCTGGGGGAAGGGAGCCACTCCGATAGCGATAGCGCTGTGGGCTGGCTGCCCGCCCCCCCAGCAGCGCCCCATTGGCTGGGTCTGGGTCTGGGTCTGGGGGACCCCTGCCCTAGCGGCTGTGGCGTCAGGGGCAGGGGCAGCGGAGCGACTGGGAGCCTGCCTGGGCCCAGCTTCCCGGCTCCATCTGGGAGGGCGGCCTTGTCGAATGGGAGGGCCTGGGGTCTGGAAGCCCTGGCTGGGTTTGGGCTGTAAGGCCTGCTGGCCCTCCCAGGCCTTTGGTGTATGTGCACCGAGAGGGCAGGTGGGTGGTCCACGCTCTCGGTGCCCAGGAGCCTGCCGGGGCCCACAGAGCCCGGGGGCAGTGGGGGCAGCAGCCCAGCCTTCGCCGCCAGCGGTGTTACTCAGGCAGACGCCCCCTGGCGCAGGGCTTGGCTGTCCTCAGGAGCAGGAAGCTGGGGTGCAGCCTGTGCGGCAAGTCCTGGCACGGCCCGGAAAACAGGTCGGATGCCGTGGGTGGGCCGTGGGTGGGCCGTGCTGATCCTACCCATATCCTACCCATCCGGCTGGGCAGCTGGGGACGGGCCGGCCGCAGGCTCCTAGGTCAGCTCAGGGGGCAAACTGGGATCCTCCTCCCTCCGCCCTGGGCCCGGCTCCGTGCAGCTCAGGAAGCAGCCGTTAGCAGAGCCTTGTTCTCCCCGAGCCTGACCCCGGCCTTGACCCGGGCCTCCCAGAGGCCCGGCGACTGCTGATGGCCCAGCATTTTGTCTCCGGCCGAGATGCCTGATGGCTTCTGGAGGGCCTGCACGTTCGTCCTGTCCCTGTCGGCTCCAAAATGTAAGCAGAAAACCTCAAAGTTGTAATGAATGAAAATTCGTCCAAGTAACATTATTTCAGCCAGCTCACTGCGGCTCAGCTCAACTGTGCTGGGTGTGTCATCTAGAGACGCCATGAAGTTTAGATCATGGGAACCCAGTGTGCAATCTCTTCCTAGTGTCAGATTAAATTGATACGAGCCTCTTCCAAAGTTTATAGCCCAACTGATACTTACGTGTGAGCGTGTGGTTTTGACGTGTTTGCGATGACGGGGTGGAAACATCAAAACGCAGGGGGCCTCACCCCGTCCCCCGCGTGCAGCCGTGGCCTCAGGCCGGAGGGGCGAGGGAGGTGCCTGCTTCTCTCCAGTCCACCGCTGGTCTATAGAGGCCCTTAGAGGGCGCCTCCCGGACACAGCGGGTCAGAGAAGGTGGGCAGGCGAGTGCCAACTACCGACCCGCAGCCCACGGTGGCATCGTTCCTGTCCACGCAGCTCTTGCCTCTCCCGCTGCATGTCGCGCCTTGGACAGCGTGCACACTCCGACACTTAGAAACACACTTGCTCTTTTTCACGTTCCAGAATGTCCCTTTACGGAGGCCACATAATTTCAGTCACCTGTCCCTGACCCGGGACGCCTGTGTCGTTCTGGTTTTCTGCCGAGACAAACCACACCCGGACCTACACGCCTCCTCTGCCCTGGGGGTTTCTTCCGTGGGAGGTGGGTTTAGACACGCTGCCTCTCTCATCGCTATGACTTTCCCAAGGCGAAGCCCATCTGTTCCCATGGCAACCATCACCACCCCATCCTAGGAACACGTGACCTGGCTTTGGCTGTTTCCGGGGTTTCAGGGAGGGTCGGGGTGCGCCTCATCAACCTGCGGAGGATCTGAGCACTTTCTTGGCTCCCCAGACGGGCTGATGGATGAGCTAAAACTTGGGGGGCAGAAGGGTGGAGTGGGGCTGGGAGCGGGGGAGTGCCCTCCTGAAGCCCGGCCCGCGGAACCAGCTGGGCTGAGCTCCCTCCCAGGGGCGGGACAGCGAGGGGGGAGGCCCTGCTCTGCAGGCGGGAAACCAGCCTGGCACTGGGGTCTGGCAGGAGGTCTGGGGTTGACCGCACATGACAGGACTCACTCCCTGCCCTTTTCCAGGAAGCTGGCTCCGCGTGCTGCCCGTCTCTGCAGGATCTTCGTGCTGCGGGAGTCACCCAGTCCTGCCCTGTGCCTGCCCTCTCCACGCCCCGCCCCGTTCTCCCCATGGACTGGCAGGTCACTACTGAGGTCCCCCTGCCCCAGCGCCTCAGGGGGCTCTACGCCTTGCTCTGGGCTGTGATGGGGACGCGAGCCAACGTGGGTCAGGGCCCAGCTCTGCCGCTGGCCAGCGAGCGGCTCTGCAGGGCTGCAGTTGTCCTATGCAGGGTGGGGTGGGGGTGGCGGTTGGGAGGGGGGAGCAGGTGACCCGGGCTCCTGACTCTTAGTCTGAGGCCCAAAGGAGCCTGGGAAGCCCCTGGCCCTTGGTCCCCACCCATGGGCTACACCATCCCCTGTGGGCACCCCGTCTCAGTCTGCTCCCAGATTCTTCACACCCACCTGGGGACTCTGCCACCTCACTGAGGCCTGAAGAGGAAGGACCGTTACAACATTTGTTTATTTATTTTAGAAAGAGAGAGTGAGGGGAGGGAGGGAGAGAGACAGACAGACAGACAGGCTGATTTGCTGTATGTGCCTGACCAGGGATCCAACCTGAAACTTGGGTGTCGGGACGACATCTAACCAGCTGAGCCAGGGCCCGAGAGGCCTTTTTTTAGCACCTCCCTCTCCACAAACAGAAATGATTCTTGGTAATAACTGAGAAATGAAATGAAGAATAAAGGCCAGAAAGGAAATGCAGACAGTGATCAATTTTCATGTATTTATTCAAGGTCATTTCCCTTCATTGAAATACACACCTACACATGCAGATATAGCAAATCATGCCAATACAACACATAACATGTTCACACATTAACACGCAACTGTTTATTCCGTAGCTTGTATCTTTACCTAATGAATTTTGATTCCTTGGTGATATTTTATGTTAACATTGTATGTGCGTGATTATCCAGTTAAAACTCACCTATAAGTGATCTTTTAATGATACCGAAATGTCTGCAAAGTATAAAATTTAGTCAACTAAATTGTACCGCCAAGGCAATGACTTATTTTTGTGATTTGTTCTTTAGTTCTAAAGCAACCAACAATTGAAAAAGAATACATTTCAACTTTAAAGATATTTAATGCAAAAATATTTCATGTACAGACTAAAACCTTCACTTCCC